GCTACTGAGACAGGTCAAATGAGCTCTCAAGCTTTGCCCTTCAGGTCAAACAAATGGAGGGGACTGGCAGCTTTGACAAGAGTGGATCACAGAATGGTAAGGATCTGGGAGCCGTGTCTAGCGGCGCCATGGTGCACAGGTTTTAGAAGCATGGCTAGGAGAGGGCGGTATTTCAGGGACAGATGAGTGCTGTTGGTCAAAGGCAGCTCCAGGGTGGGATTCTGCAAACCCTGTATAAACCTCACTGTCATGGCAGATGTGGAGAACCAGCATAGCCAGCCGGCTGTGAATGTAATGGAGAGGCGGCTCGTGTATCTAATTTTCAGTCCATCCTTCCATTAGAACTCTGATATTTTCCATCTGCCGTCCCTCTACTCGGATGCTCTTCAGTACCTGGTAGGCTTCACACTCATTTCCGGTTTGTGATTAGACCTAAAGCATAGCTGTTTTCAAGTGGTGATGAGAGGCCCAGCATTGAACAGAGAATGAGAGTGTGGAAATGAGAGAGGGAGGAAAATTACAGGAGAGGGCAAGGGAGGGAAGGAGGAGAGGGGGAGAGGAAGGGGAAGTGAGAAGAGAGTAGTGTGATGAATGCAGTGGGGGATGGAGGAGGACAGGAAGGAAGAGGAAGTGAAAAGGAGGCTGGAGCACAGCTCAGTGGGAACATGAGAAAGGCTCTCAATTCAATCCTTAGTACTGTAAAAAAATAATAATAATTAAGTTGTCTCATAGTTTGAATTAAACAAAAAAAGAAGGAAGAAAGGATGAGAGGAGACAGGAGAGATCACTCTAAACCGAGGGAGAAGGATGGCTCGGACTAAGAAGAAAAAGAGAGGGGGATGGAGAGAGAGAGTAGCAGAGAGGCGGGGAGGACATATTAAACTAGAGAACTGTCTGAACCAGTGCTGCTGCTGTTTTCCTAAGACAGCCTTTATGGACTGCCCACTTTAGATCAGGCTGTGTCTGCCCGGCTGAGTCCAGACGACAGGTAAAGGAGGCTCAGGTTGGTTAGTGTCCATGGTGGCAGAAGGCAGCTGCGAGAACAGAGCTATAGAAAGGGACAGAAGACTCAGGAAAGCATCTCTCCAGTCCCTGGGACCACAGAGCTTCCTGGCTGGCAGGGGCGGGGCAAGCTGTTCCTCTGGGAGCCAGAACTAAGAGGAAATCCCAACACTGAGGTTGAGTGGGCAGTGAGAGCATAAGCCAAGGAGTCACCTTTCTGGAGCAGGACAGTTACAGATTTAGAATAATCAAATGGTCTGGCATGTGGGGGCTGGCAGCATGACTCGGAGGATGCAAGCGTTTGTTATGGAGTCTGACAGTCTGAGTTCAATCGGTGAAACCCAAGTGGAGGTGGAACCAACTTTACAAAGTTGTCCCCTGACCTGGACACACATTCGGGGGCACCCATGCCACACCCACTCACAACACACACAAACACAATCATAAATTCTAAAATAAAAAAAATGAACCATGGATTAGAATAAAAAAGTAAATTGGGCCCACGCACCATGGAGTCTTATCTTAATGTATACAAAGATTTTAAATGTGAGAGTACTAGGGATGTGTTTGAACTCCTCGGAAGCACGCTGATTTCCTGCTTTGAGATCTCATGGAATGTTCTTGATATCCCTCAAGAATGAGATGCGTGATTGGCTCAAAAACACCCCCAAAGGAAAAGGGATTGTGTGAGATCAGTGTGGAAGGTCAGGACTCACTGCGAAATCCTCTCAACTTCCCTTCTGTTTAGGTTTTGTAAGAAAGCCCCATGGTGTTTATCATCCTAGCTGTTTCATGGACATTGCCTTGGAGGAATAAGGGAACCAGGTTGGAGCACCCAAGTGTGACTCTGGCTGCAGGAAGAAGCAGACGTCCTCGGGAGGACATTTGGATGGACAAAGGAGAGTTGGATGGCGCTCTCAGCCCAAGTTACAAACTTGTTAAAGACCTCTGATTATTAAGAGGATGGGGAGTGAGCTCAAGAGTTAGAACCCTGAGCTGCCGACAGGCCTTGCTGCTGTCTCTGACTTCCGTGTCCCCTGGGGCATCCTAGCTTTTCTGTCTGTCTTCAAACTCACTGCTTGGGGTGGCCTGGTAAAAGGTGGGAGGAAAGGACAGCCATCACCATCCAGCATTCCTTGCGACCCCAGAGGAGAGAGACTTCAGGTCACTCCATCCACTGTCCCCCTCCCCACATCCTTCAGAATAGCCCGAGCCCACCTCGCCTCTTCCCCTTGCCATTTCATCGTTCTGTTGTTGTTTTCAGCTGCTTTCGAGTGGCTCCATCCACAGCCAGCCCCGATTTAGCAGCCTTCGGTCAGAAACAGATTTCTCTGGAAGGCTCAGCCACAATAAGGCAAAATGAGCTCTGCTCAAGGACCTCAAACTGCTTCTCTAGGGACAGATGCAGGGCTAATGGCTCTCTTGAAAGGCAGCCTCTGCAGTTGCCCCTCCCTCCCTCCACCTGCATCCACGCTGGCTATAATTTCGACTCATTTCCTACAGCTTTGTCTTGGTGGTGGCTAGCCAGTTCCTCCTTGTCCCTGTCCCCTCCCTGTGAAGGCCAGTTTTCCATTTCAGTAATGACTGTGTGACTCATTTCTGGATTCTTCCTCTTGCCACATGCACAGCCATTTAGAACTTAATGTTCAACACCATTCTCTTATTTGTCAAGGCTTGCAGCTCCTTGGGCGTCTATGAAGAAAAGGACACGCGTGCCTGTCTCTACCACCACTGTGGACACCGATACAAAGAGACCCACCCAGCAGAAATGCCTTTCCATCCAGTGTCTGACTCTTAGCTCTGCTGAAGGCAGGATGTGGAAGTTGGATTGGTGACCACACTGCCCGGTCCCGTGCCCCCAAATCCCAGCACACAGCTCCCACTCATACACAGTCTGACTGTGGCATCTGACTTATTTTTAAAATAAGAGTCGAGACCTAGACAGTTTGTACCCCTCAGTCCTGAAGGTCTCCCCCTCACCTGGTCTATAAGCGTTAGCTGTGAAGTCAAACAAGCGTAGTTCAGATCCCAGTTCATTCTCTGAGCCTCATTTTCCCCTACCTCTGAAAGCGTGTGCTCATTTGGGGGATTCTTGCAGGCAGTAAGTTAGACTGCGTGCAAGTGCCTTAGCCTCCAGCCCCATGATTAGCCCTTGGGGATGCGCAGTACTCAGTACCCAGGTATCACCTCCCCCACTCACTCCTACACATGATCAATATGCTTTGCATACTGACTGGAAGCTGAATGTCACGGACTGCATTTTGTCTTCCTCGGTGGAAAACACAAGTGTTTGCTTTTATTTTATTTATTTAGTATAAAACTCAGTGAATTCACTACTTCTCCTTTGGAGACAGAACATAAGAAAGAAATAAAGATATGAGCATCACCTCCAATGGGACCTTTGGGGCCGAGGTCACAAACCACACACTGTGCAAATGCATGCTGTCCCTGTGCGTGCCTAGGGCTGGCTTTTGTTTCAACTTTGCTGCTTAAACCCTTGGTTCTCCAGGACTCCTCCTTTCTCCTCATGCTGTGTGCTCTGCAGCTGGCTCCTGATGATGTGAGAGGTACCAGGTGGAACAGAACAGGGGCGAGGAAGGGAGCTTCAGACAACAAAAGATGAGAAGGAAAGCTGCTAGGATTCCCCTGCGCCAAGACCTTCTCGTGACCTCTCTTTCCCAACAGTCCCTGCCAACAACTCTCATCACAGAGCTGCAGAGAAGCTAATCAGTCCCAGATTCTCAGGGGTTAGAAGCAGTGCTGAGAGGTGAACTTGCTGCTGGCTGCAGGGATCTCTGGTTTCTCCACAAGATAAACCCTTGGCTGCTCAGCGGCTGCTCAGCTCCGAGCCTTGCTGCCCTCTGCACCTGTGTCTTGCAGGAACTGAAGAGGGATATAAAGGCAGCGGGTGGAGAGCCCTCAGCCTGCACTGGAAGAGCCCTGCCTTGAATGTGAGTGAGAAAAGAATGCCCAAAGGGCTGGCGTCTCCCCTCCATCTTCCCTTCCTGGTCTTTGAGAATTTTTGTTCTCTTTGCAAACTTGGAGTTGATGCTGTGGGGAGAAGAGTCTTGGGTTTAGACTTGAGAATGGATTCCTCAGTAAAGTCTGGGTCTCCAATCCCTAGGATGTCTGAGGTGCTCAACTCAGGCTAGACTGCCTATGTCTAGGGCAGGTTTCCACTAGGCCTAGGGGACAGACAAAGGAGATGCGAGGTCCCTTGTGGGTGGGCTGAGTGGTGCATTCCTGAAGCAGGGTGCTCCTTGGCTACAGCAGAAGGGAATCTCCCTGTCCGCCCCCACCCCCCACGTCACTAATACACCCCAGAAGAGAACTGGAAATGAAACATGACAGCAGAATTCCCAGCACTGGCTGGCCCAGCCTGATGCTTAGGGTAGCATTGAGATAGACGGGGCTGGTTGAAATGAGCTTCTGCTCTGAGGAAAGGGCTCTAGTTGGAGGGACAGGGTGGGGATAAGCTACTCTGAGGAGCTGTGGGCCTGGTGTGTGCCCTTCCTAGGGAATAGAAGTAGGATTGGCACTTGATGGATAAGGCTTGCGTTGGCCACCCCACCATGTCCTCTGGTCACAAGGAGAATCTGCTTGCTTAGTGGGAACTGATTACTTGGCCACGAGACTGGCTGTGGGCTGGGATCAAAGCTCCATACATCACTGAGTTAGCAGAGCTGTACGTAGTGTAGAAGAGCTTAGAGCCATTCCCTACCTGCCCTCCTCTTCAGAGCTGGTTTTTCTTTTCTTTGCCCTGTTGCTGGTTTGGTTTCTGCATCTCTGCAAAGGTTGCTAGTAGGTATCAGATCCAGGTATTATTTTACCTGCTCTGACATTCTGTAATGCTGCTTTACACAGAAAGTTCTAAGAGTAGCCAGAATGTTCCAGCGACCTCAGGGAGCCTTGGGGCCTCTACACCATCTTTAGTGCCTGGTGTTTTGGAGGGATTGGGATGGCTGTCCTCTATCACAGGCTTTTCTCTGCAGCAGGTCATGGCACAATGGTGGCAGATCCTCTTGGGATTGTGGGCAGTCATGCCCACCTCATCAGGGGACAAGCCAGTCAACATCTGCATGAATGCCAAGCACCACAAGCAAGAGCCTGGCCCAGAAGACAAGCTCTACTTGGAGGTACAGGGACAAGAGCTGGCCCAGGGGTGGCTTCTTAGGTTTATGAGAGAAGGAATACAGGCAAGGTGGTCCCTGTACTCCATCAGCCCTGTGATCATCTGGTTCCTTAGTCTGGATTTCTTTCCTGAGCTGCTCTGGTCACTTGGGAAACAGGTCATGTGGTAATCCCAGAAGCCCTGTTGGCTCACCAGGGGTAAGTGCAAGCCTTCCAGCCAACATGTCCTGGCTAGACATAGGACTTAATGTGTGTCCTTGTCGGTCTCCTAAAGGCAAAACAGGGCTATGGGAAGAGGAACGTTCCAACTATAAGTTCCTCCTACCCATCATCATAACCAGGTTCCTGACTCTCCACGGACTTCTTTCTGTTTGCTTTACTGGATTTATTTCCTCCCTGAAGCTGACATCAGGAAGGTATGTTCTGTAGCAGGTAGACAAAGTGGAGGAGGTCAGTGGTCAGGTGCCTCCTGTTCTTCGGGGCCTTGTTGACAAATACCACAGTCCCTGCTCTACAGAGGTGCTCAAGATGTCCTTTCTGACACCCTCTGCCCAAGGCCCTCAACCCCAGCTTCTTAACCACTGCCTGCTGCTTCTCCCTCCATGTCCAGTGTGCTCCCTGGAAGGACAATGCCTGCTGCACGCTCACCACAAGCTGGGAAGCCCACCTGGATGAGTCCTTGCTCTTTAACTTCAGCATGATGCACTGTGGACTGCTGACCCCCATGTGTCATAAGCACTTCATCCAGGCCATCTGCTTTCATGAGTGTTCCCCCAACCTGGGGCCTTGGATCCAGCTGGTGAGCAGACAGGAGGCAGACCCGTGCAATTCCCTTCCATTCATCCTAGGCGAGTAGGACTAGGAGATACTGTCCCTCTAGGGATAAGAGCAGAGCTAGAGGCCTGGGAAAGGGATGAAGAGGGAGCTGCCTCTGTCCCTGAAGGATAGCATGGGGACACTGTCTGATGTGGGCACTAGGATGAGATGCACCTGAGTGTGATTTACACACCGGATAGCCCGGGACAAATAGCCACTCATCTTCACAGTTCTCATTTATATTATAATAATAATAACGATAAGTACCTCGGACTAGGAGATGGCTCTGTCACACGAGCATGAGGACCCGAGTTCAATCCTCAGAACCCATATAAAAAAGCTAGGTGTAGAGGTGAGCTGTTGTAATCTCAGCACTACAGAGGCAGAGGCAGGTGGGTCCCCGGGCTTGCTAGCTAGCCAACCTAGCCTGCTTGGTGAGACGAGTGAGAGACACCGTCTCTAAGCCAACATGGATGGTCCCTGAATAACAGCACTTGAGACTGTCCTCTGGCCTCCACTCAGACACACACACACATTCACCTGCACTTCCAGAATGCGCACACGGGCACAAGAGAAAGAATAATACACAAGGACCGTGTAAAGGATTAGATATCTCCCACTCTCTCTGCCTGCACCCAGGTGGCCCCGAACAGGCAAGAAGAGCGGGTTTGGGGCGTGCCACTGTGCCGGGAGGATTGTGAGGAGTGGTGGAAAGACTGCAGTTCATCTTACACTTGCAAATCCAACTGGCGGAGTGGCTGGGACTGGAGTCTGGGTAAGTGGACTGACTGGGTCCTTGGGGGCCACCAACCTGGGTGAGGATGCAAGCCTTCTTCTATCCCCCCATGATGATGGGGACATGGAAGAGAAGGGACAATGGGAAGTCAGGAAACCATCCTCAACCTCTACAGGGAAAAACCGCTGCCCGGTACAGGCGCCCTGCCGCCCTTTCTCGGATGTATTCCCCACCCCCACTGATCTGTGTGAGAAGATCTGGAGCAACACATTCAAGGCCAGTTCTGAGCACAGGAATAGCGGCCGGTGTCTGCAGAAGTGGTTTGAGCCCACCCAGGGCAACCCTAACGTGGAAGTGGCCCTCCACTTTGCCAGCTCTGCCTCAGCCCGGGAGCTGTCTTACAGCCTCTCAGTCTTCTCTCTGTACCTGCTGCTCCATTCCTGAGAGTCCCCTCTCCTACCCACATCCCTTGATCTTGCCAGGTCCTGGCCATGTCCTTCCTCAGACTGCTCAGGGTAAGAGCAGGCTGGTGCCTGAACTTTCCGTGCATCCCGGGTCCCGTTCACTGTTGGCTCTGCCTCCACTGGCCTGGATGGCTGCTGGTACCCAGCAGTCTAAGGTGACTGGTTTTCCCTGCCTTTAGGAAAGGTACTATAGGACTCCCCGCACTTCTCACCATGTCCACGCCCATCCTGTTTGTCACACAACAGACAATGCTGACAGCCAAGTGCCCTGTCCTGTCATAGCACCCTCAGTAAAATGACAGGGAACTCTTCTTTCCATGTCTCACTCTGTTCCAGTCCCAAGATATATAAAGAGGGAGCTGATGTGTCCTCAATAAGATTCTAATTTTCATGATTACTAATGGGGTAAGGATTTTTTTAATATTAATTGGTCATTTGGAATGTATCTCTGTCACACTGTGTGTGTGTATGTGTGTGTGTGTGTGTGTGTGAGTGTGAGTGTATGTGTATGTGTGTGTCCATCCCTTCCCTCTGTCTCTCCCCCTCCCTTTTCTTGAAAAATACTCTCATGTATCCCAGGTTAGCCTGGAACTCAAGGATGACATTAAACTTCTGGTCTTCTCGCCCCCACCTTCCAGTTGCTGGGATTGTGCACATATGCCACCACCCCTGGTTTCATGCCGTGCTGGAGAGCTAACCCAGGGTTCTGCACAGGCTAGGCAAGCACTCTACCAGCTGAGCCACATTCCAGCCCCTCTTCTTCCTCCTCTTCCTCCTCCTCCACAGTCACAGCATTCTAGTCTTGAACTTTGACCCCTTGAGCTCTATCTAAGCTGACCTTTCCACTGTTACTGTCCTTTCCCCCAGTTGAGAACTGAACCTAGGGTTTTACATTTGCTAGGCACACACTAAATCCCCACCCCCAAGAGCTTTCCGCTTGCTCTGGAACATTTGGTAGTTCTTTTGGTCTTTGTGTAACACTGCTTTGACTTCTTCCCCATGGAGAGGAGGTGCTGGACCGGATGATTTAATTTACAAAACCAGGAAAGGAGGGACATCCAGGGGCCCCATTTACTATATCATGGAAGGAGCAATAGCCAGCAGAATGAGACAGAAGTGCAGAATTAACAGCAGAAGGGCCATTGGCTTCAAGTCTCTCCTATAACCAGACCCTGTGTGGATCTGCACACTAGGGGTCTTTCAGAGCCTGAAGCTGACCCCTCCCAGCACCAGATGGTGACTTCCTTGTCACTTGTGTGTGTGTGTGTGTGAGAGAGAGAGAGAGAGAGAGAGAGAGAGAGAGAGAGAGCGCAGGAGATTGTCTCAAGACTGCTGGTTCTTGTCTGACACAAACTCTGTTCATCAATAAACTCAGCTTGCATCCTTCCTGTGCTTGCTTATTCATGAAACAAATGTGTCCCCAGGAGAACACTAGAATCACAAAACCAAGCATGGAGCTCAGTTGGTAAGAGAGGACAGATGGCAGCAATGGTAGGAGCAAACTTGTATATGCGATGTCTGGAGGAAAGGACCCAGCTAGACGGGTCCTGAGAGGGCCTCACCGAAGCAAGGACTTGAATTCCTGCAGACAACAGAAAGTTCTCGAGCACACAGAGACAAAAAGTATATATGCCTTCAAAATTACATATAGGAAGCCAGGCTTGGTGGCATACACCATGGCATCTGAGGCAGAAGGATTGCTGCAAGTTAGAAGGTAGCCAACATATAATATAGGAACACCCCACCTCCATCTGTCTCTCCAGATCGGAGGACCACGGGGAATGCAATCTGACGGAGTCTCGCTCATACAGTCAAGAGCTTAATGATTGCTGAAGTGTTTTTAGATATAACTGTAAATTTCACGGAAGAAGAGTTAAGACTGAGGTGAAGAAAACAAGGCCCGTCCTGTTAAATCGTCAGATGGCCACTTGCTGTGCAGGAAGTACTCTAAGCATGCGGCGGCATGTCATCTGAATTTCATGGAAGCCTTGATACATGGCCCTTGTCTCTGTTTCTCTGATTAGAACATGGCCAAGTCTAACAAACAGCTCCAGCAGACCCTAGGTTCAGTTAACCCCAAAAGTTCCACCTGATTTCACAACTTTAGCCTACACTCCCAGTCCTAGCCAACCTCTATTTCCAACTGACCCCATCTCCAGCTGACCCCCATCTCCAGCTGACCCCCATCTCCAGCTGACCCCCCATCTCCATCTGAACCCCCATCTCCAGCTGATCCCAATCTCCAGCTGAACCCCCATCTCCAGCTGATCCCCCATCTCCAGCTGATCCCCCATCTCCAGCTGATCCCCCATCTCCAGCTGAACCCCCATCTCCAGCTGATCCCCCATCTCCAGATGATCCCCCATCTCCAGCTGATCCCCCATCTCCAGCTGAATTCCCATCTCCAGCTGATCCCCCATCTCCAGCTGATCCCTTGTCTCCAGCTGAACCCCCTGTCTCCAGCTGATCCCCGTCTCCAGCTGAACCCCCATCTCCAGCTGATCCCCCATCTCCAGCTGAATTCCCATCTCCAGCTGAATCCCCATCTCCAGCTGAATTCCCATCTCCAGCTGAACCCCCACCTCCAGCTGATCCCCCATCTCCAGGGGATCCCCCATCTCCAGCTGATTCCAGACTCAAATTCGCACTGAAGATCCTGGCCTCCAGTGGCCTGAAGTGGAACCGATGTTAATAGGGGAGCAAGGGTAGAGATGGGGGACAAACCTGGGAGAGTTCATGGTGGCTAAGACAGACAGATTCCTGCCCTCTTTTACTTTTGGGATAGTGGAAGATTTCATCAAAAGAGAAGAGAACTGTTGAATTTCAAATTGTTTTGACCAGGGAGTGAGCTAACACACATGGGCCCAAGGACTTCCAACACACGCTCAGAGACCCAGCCACCCCACCTTCCTCTACTCCAGGCCTATGGCTGAGCAGTGCCCACTCATGGCCGTTTATCTACACAGAGTTCATTTTAACACCTCTCTTCCGTATACATTCAGGCTACCTTGTCACACTCCATCCTGCTAGCTTCTTGAATTCATCTTCTACTCTCTCTCATTTCAGCAGTCCATGTTTAATTATTTCCAGTGATGTTTTCCGTTCCCAGATTGCTGTTTTGGGTTTTGTGGGTGTAATATCTTCTCAAGTCTCAGTGAAGATCTAATTAAAATTTTTTTCAAAAGCTTGGCTCCAGTCTCTAAGAGACACATTTCCCCCAAGGTCGCTCTGTTCTGTTCTCTGATGTTTTCCATGCACGGCGGCAGGTTTTCCAAGTCGGGTGACTTTGGCTGTCTGTCTACATTTAAGAATGAAGGCTGGGTCCAGGGGTAAGTTGATCCCGAATTTCCTGAGAAACCGAAACACTGACTTCCACAGTGGTTGCACAAGATGGCATTCCCACCAGCAATGGATGAGGGTACCCGTTCCTCCACAGCCTCTCCAGCAAAGGTTATCCTTGGTGTTTTTGACTTTAGCCATTCTGACAGGTGTAAGATGATATCTCAAAGTTGTTTTGATTTACATTTCCCTGATTGCTAAGGAAGTTGAGCACGACTTTAAGTGTCTTTTGGCCATTTGAACTTCCTCTGCTGAGAATTCTCTGTTCAGTTCAGTGCCCCATTTTTTAATTGGGTTAATTAGCATTTTAAAGTCTAGTTTCTTGAGTTCTTTATATATTTTGGAGATCAGACCTTTGTCTGTTGTGGGGTTGGTGAAGATCTTCTCCCAATCAGTAGGTTGCCTTTGTGTCTTATTGACTATGTCCTTTGCTTTACAGAAGCTTCTCAGTTTAAGTAGGTCCCATTTATTCAATGTTGCCCTTAATGTCTGTGCTTCTGGGGTTATACATAGGAAGCGATCTCCTGTGCCCAGCTCCTGTAGGGTACTTCCCACTTTCTCTTCTATCAGGTTCAGTGTGTTCGGGCTGATATTGAGGTCTTTAACCCAGCAATACCACTCCTGGGAATATACCCAAGAGATGCTCTATCATATGACAAAAGCATTTGTTCAACTATGTTCATAGCAGTATTATTTGTAATAGCCAGAACCTGGAAACAACCTAGATGCCCTTCAATGGAAGAATGGATGAAGAAAGTATGGAATATATACACGCTAGAGTACTACGCTGCGGTAAAAAACAATGACTTCTCGAATTTTGCAGGCAAATGGATGGAAATAGAAAACACTATCCTGAGTGAGGTGTCCCAGACCCAAAAAGATGAACATGGGATGTACTCGCTCATAATTGGTTTCTAGCCATAAATTAGGGCCACGGAGTCTACAATAGGTGAACCTAAAGAAGCTAAGTAAGAAGGTGAACCCAAGGAAAAACATATAGTTATCCTCTTGGCTAAGGGAAGTAGACCCAATTGCCGGGGAGAAAATTAGGATCTTGGGGGTGGGGTGGGATGGGGGTAAGGGGAGATGGGGAGAGAAAAGGTAGAAGGGAAGGAGGGGGGATTTGGGGAATCAGGAGAATTGGGATAAAGGAAAGGTGGATAGGGGAGCACGGAACCACAATTCTTAGTTAAGGGAACCACTTTAGGGTGAGCAAGAGATTTGACCCTAGAGGGGCTCCCAAGTGCCCAACATGAGATTCCCAGTTAGTTCCTTGGGTAGCTGAGGATTGGGAACCTGAAATGACCCTATCCGAGAGCAATACTGACGAATATCTTGCATATCATCATAGAACCTTCATCTGGTGATGGATGGAGACAGAGACAGAGACCCACACTGGAGCACTGGACTGAGCTCCCAAGGTCCCAATGAGGAGCAGAAGGAGGGAGAACATGAGCAAAGAAGTCGGGACCACGAGGCGTGCACCCACCCACTGAGACAGTGGAGCTGATCTACTGGGAGCTCACCAAGGCCAGCTGGACTGTGACCGAAAAAGCATGGGATAAAACCGGACTCTCTGAACATGGCGAACAATGAGGGCTGATGAGACGCCAAGGACAATGGCACGGGGTTTTGATCCTA